GCTGTCGCGCTCGCCGTAGGACTTTTATGAACGTGGAGGTGGGAGCAGCAGTACTTATCCTAGTATCAGTAGTGGTGAAGGGGACAGTGTCTCCAGTCGTGCTGATACGCATTCTAGTGCTGTGGCATCTGATTGCGGACATAATTACTGCTACGATTAGCGATGTCACTGATGTTGCTAACGAGGCAAGGGCTGTTAAGACTAAGAGTGCTAGTCATGGCGGTATGATGACTATTTGGATAGACATCGCTACAATGGAATCATAGGGACAGTAAGGTTAATGAAATAGAATAGGTATGTTAGTGGAGACATCATTAGAGAAATACCAGGCAGCGTACCAGATAACAAATATAAAGCAGAAAAAAAATAAAGTAAAAAAAATAAGGAATCCAGCATACATACTTGTAGTAGGACAGTGGACACAATGTAACGACTGGCGGATATCGAGTAGATTAGAGATAATAGCATGTAAGGCAAAGTTACGGGAGTAGTGGAGTGCTTAAGTTGGTGATGGAAGAACAGATAGTGAAAGTGGTAATGATGGTAAGATCAACCGGAATTAGCAAGTGTAGGAAGAAAGAAACAAACAATATAAAAAGACAATAAAATCCAAAGAAGCAATGATATGGTATACAGTAAATAGCTGTCTTCCGCCATCTACGTATATTGTGATACTTACCGCTGCAACCCGGAGGCATACCGGGCGTGGGAACACACAAACTGGAGACCCTAACTTTGTTTAGCCCGTTGATCGAGGCGGGGAGCCGGGGAGTGGCCGCTAGGCAGAGCCTAACTCCGGGGAGCCACAAGTGAGAGTTGGATGCCAGCCAAGGACGCTAGGCGTAGCCATCACCTGCATGACATCTGCCAAGACCTTCACGTTCAGCCCCCAGCTGAACACCCCATACCCCCTTCAACAGCAACCACACAATCAACCACAAACACAGTTGCGTGAAGACACTCTATTGACGAGTTGAGACGTGCTGCAGCAAACCAGAAGA